AAAGCTTCCACCCAAGTCGGAGGCGAATTACAAACTCTATCACAACTTTTATTGCCAAGGATTTGCGTCCGTACCAGGGCTTTCACGCTATGTTGGACACTTTGTAGCCGAGATACAGAAGATACCCCAAATGAGAGACTGCCTGCGTCTCATGTGCTCCAAACAAAAGCAGTGAATGAGAGCCTTCCAGTTCACTTGCCACATCACTTACATAAAAGATATTGGAAGTAAATTCATTATGGATCATTACAAATACTTTGCTTTAAAAGAACCAGGTCCTCACACAGTGAGAAAATAGAAGTCCTGTATAGAAAAAAAGATGCATCAAGATGCATCGATAATTGTTTTATAATCGCATCACAGCCTTCTGAATTGTAATCAAATCGAATCGTGAGGTGCCTAGAGATTCCCACCCCTACTGCCTGGGCTCAGAAACACTTTTGAAAAACACTGTCTGTGAAAACAGTTTGTCGCTACATCCACAAATGCAAGTTGTGTCGCTACATCCACAAATGCAACTCTAAAAAGCAAAAAAGAAACCACACATAAGATCCAGAAACGCTGCCACCTTCTTTGGGCCTGAGCTCATTTAAGATGGACTGAGGGGAAGTGGAAAAGTGTCCTGTGGTCCGACAAATCAACATTTGAAGTTCTTTTTGGAAATCATGGATACTGTGTCCTCCGGACTAAAGACCACTCAGCTTGTTATCAGTGCACAGTTCAAAAGCCAGTATTCATGATGGTATGGGGTGAATTAGTGCACATGGTATTCGTGATGTGCACATCTGTGAAGGCACCATTAATGCTGAACGATACATATATGTTTTGCCAACATATGCTGCCATCCAGATGACATCTTTTTCCAGGGAAGGCCTTGATTATTTCAGCAAAACAATGTCAAACCACATTCTGCATGTATTACAAGAGCATAGCTCCGTATTAAGAGTCCGGGTGCTAAACTGGCCTGCCTGCAGTCCAGATTTGTTACCACTGAAAACATTTGGTGCATTATGAAATGGAAAATACAACAAAGGAGACCTCAAACTAATGAGCAGCTGAAATCCTATACCAAACAAGAACGGGAAAACATTTCACTTACAGAACTACACTTCCCAAACACTTAGAGTGTTGTTAAAAGAAGAGGTGATGCAACACTGTGGTAAACATGCCCCCATCCCAACTTTTTAGGAACGTAATGTTGGCATCAAATTCAAAATGAGTATGTATTTAAAAAAAAAATAAATAAATAAATTATCGGTTTCAACATTTGATATGTTGTCTTTATACTGTTTTCAATTAAATATAAGGTTTAAATGATCTGCACATCATTGCATATTGTTTTTATTTACATTTTGAACAGCATCCCAAACATTTTTGGAAATAGGGCTGTATTTTAGATCTAGTCACACTGCATCATAGAGTCTTAAAAGTAGGTTAATATATGATCTAACCTGTTATTAAGTGTGCCTGATGGATGCACCAGTGTAAATAAACAGCAGGTCTTTTTGAGACCAGTTATTACAGATGGGTTGCTTTCCTTCTTCCAGTATAAGTGAATACTAGACCTATTCAAAGTCCTTTTTTCTGGCCTAGTTCAGGTTAAAATTTTTATCTTGCACAGCCAACAAATTAAAAAGATTAAAACGTTAACCAGAATTTAACCAAATAAGGTAAAATGCATTAGCAGATATACAATTTTGCAAGCCATTAAAAATATACATTATATAGATCAATGGATCATGAAAGCCAAAGTATCTCCCTCTTTCTTCCAAATGCAGGTAAAGGTTGGTGGGAGATTTGCCAAATGTCAAAGTTATTGAGTGCAAAGATAGACTGCTGCATGTGGCATAACAGGGCTGTAACGCTACACAATGAGCAGCCATTGTCATCATTTCATTCAGCTAACTTCAAGGTTGTAACCTGCCATACATCATGAGTGACTTTTATATTAAAGTATCCTCTAAGGAATCTGCACTAAGCGTGTGAGAGAGAGAAGAGGTGTGTTGTCTTCTACAAAATAGCATTACGTTGAATAAGTTCTGACTAGTAAGAGGTCAGTTTTATAACTAGTCAGAACACCAATTGGACTAGTCATAATTATCTATCAACGAGTGATGCTTTCAAAATGGAGACCTGTAACATTTATTTTTACTAGTAAAAAGATATATGTTGACATCTGTACTTACATTAAAAGGATCTGTAATTCAATTTTGACTAGTAAAAATATGTTTACTTTATAAACAAGTCACTGGTAAAATTAAATAACATTTGTATACATCTATATATACACATATATCATTTTTATTCTTACTAGTCAGAATTATATTTTGACTAGTCAGAATTACTTTCTTCCTAGTAAAAACAGAGCTATGACTTGTATCGCTGGCGTCATTTTAGGCTAAAACAGCTTGCCATGAGCAATGACACGTAACAAATTCCTGAATAGTCAAATATCAGCATTTGAAAACTGGTACCTTGTACGATTAACCCAGATCCACAATATTAGTTAGTCCCCCTTCTCATATCAGAGGAGGTTTCAACACTTGTTCCACTTGAGAGGAGCAAGGAGGATTCAGTGTGGTCTTCCCCTTGTGACACAGGGTCATGGACCACTGGCACCATTTGGCGTGTTTGTGAGTCTTGGCAAGAACTCATGAGATTGCAGACAAAGTAAACTGTCCCGACGGGAACTGGAACGGCTGCCAAAGACGAGGAAAGGGTCATGCTGAAGCAGTCCTGTGCCACAGAAACAAATGATTTCAGTGCTGCTCCCTGGACAACAACAAGAACGTGTGCGCAAATCCTCCAATGCAATTCTTATGCAATTCAATTCTGCTAATTTACTGTTGATAAAATTTTTGGAAAAGACCAACCTAGTAGGGCAGAATACCAGTTGTTTAAATATACATAGCAACGCAATACAAATATCAATGATCCATGCTTAACCAAGAGAAACATCACATTTATGCATTATGATTTTCTTATACATGCTTGCTAATATGGATCAGTTACATGAAGCAGGGTCCAGCTATTCTACATTAAATAGCGCAAAGATTGCATAAAAATGTATTCAAACAACTGCCCTACTTTAAAAAAAAATCTGGGTCAGGTTCTGTTTCAATATTTGTACAAACAAAGAGCCAGAAACACATTAAATGTGCCAGCAAAAATGAGAGTCAAATAGCCATGTATCAGGAGGTCAACTGATCAACAGAGAAAGCGCCAACACTGTGGAAAAACTCAGCTACTTAAATTTGTCTACAAACAGCACCATAAGCCAGCAACAACAGGCTGATTATAGTTATAAGAACATGAACATGTAGTGGAATAAGGTGCAGACATATTTAAAATGATGTGATCTGCAAGCTACGTCAGATAACATACATATACACAGCAGTTACTGAGGTAATAAAACAGTTACTGAGGTAGTGAAAACAGTGTAAACACAGTGCTGGCAACAATGTTCCCGATAGATAGTGCAAGTAGAGCATCAAAAGAGGTGTGTATGAGTGTGTAGGGGGGGATTTAGTTCAGTCCTTGTGAGTTTAAAAACCTGATTGCCTGAGGGACAAAGCTGTTGCAGAGTCTGGCAGTGATAGCACGGATGCTCCGAAACCTTCTGCCAGACAGCAGCAGTGAAAAAGTCTGTGTGAGGGATGGATGTGTGGCGTAGATGTCCATGATGGAGGGGAGAGAGACCCCGATGATCTTCTCAGCTGTCCTCACTATGCGCTGTAGGGTCTTGCGGTCGGAGGCGGTGCAATTCCCAAACCAGGCAATGATGCAGCTGCTCAGAATGCTCTCCACAGTCCCCCTGTAGAACATGATGAGGATGGGAGGGGGGAGATGAACTTTCTTCAGTCTTCGCAGGAAGTAGAGGCACTGCTGGGCTCTCTTGGCTATGGAGTTGGTGTTGAGGGACCAGGTGAGGTTCTCTGTAATGTGGACGCCGAGGAACTTGGTGCTCTGGATGATTTCCACAGCAGAGCCAGTGATGTTCAGTGGGGCGTGGTCACTCCGCACTCTTCAGAAGTCAACAACCATCTCCTTAGTTTTGTCTACATTCAGAGACAGGTTGTTGGTTCCGCACCAGTCTGTTAGCCACTGCACCTCCTCTCTGTACGCTGACTCATCATTCTTGCTGATCAGACCCACCACAGTCGTGTCATCAGCAAACTTGATGATGTGATCTAAGCTGTACTTTGCAGGTACAGTCATGAGTCAGCAGGGTAAACAGCAGCGGACTGGGTCTTAAAAGACCTATTTCTATGTACTTAAATTTAATATACTACAATATTCCAAAATCTCAACAGACCATTTTCTGTTAATTCTGAGAAATGATGAGGCTTGTCTGAATATGATATTGTCATGAAAAGTAGTAATGTTACAGATTGTTACATGAAAATGTAAAGCCATCTTAGAGCGTGTAATACTGCAGATTTTAAGATATTCAAGCATGTTATGAATTTACTCTTACAACTGTAAAGGCTTTTTTAAGACTCATTCTGTGTGCAATCAAATTAGCCTGACAGAATTACCCTGTTATTTTATAAACTGAATATGTGATTCTAACTTACAAAGTCTAGAGTGTAGTATGATTCCTCTGCCACTGTGACCTCTGAATCTTGCGCTTGGTAAATTAAGCACTGCTTCCTCAAACTACACTGGGACACAGTCTTGGCATTAATAAGCACCAAAATGTTGAATTTCTATTGTAAAATGGATCAATAAAGCATACATTTATCTTTTTTATATTTCTCCTATTTACCAATGTTACAGAAATGGGTTCTGTTGAACTCATCTGCATATAAATGATAATCCCCCGGTATAAAAGTTACATTTGACAACTCTACAGTATAAGAAACTGTTTCAATATGACAGGCCTCTATATTTGCAGCTGATTAACTATAATAAAGTCTGGGAATACTCAGCATTCATCGATTACAATTGTGGCAGAGTGCCCCCTAATGCCAAAACATTTACATTCAAGAAATTAGTCAGGTAATATGTTAAGCCCGACTGATAAAAATATTTTCTATTTAATTTCAAAACAAAATGCTAAATAAAGTCAAACTTTTTTTACAAAATGTGCTTTATTTCATCTCTCAAGACTTATAAAATGATCATTTTTATTGCACGACCAATCTCTTCATACTCTCTTTAAGAAACATGTCTATGAAAATATATAATCCATAAACATTATGCACATCTCCTTTCATGTGGAATTAGGACACTCAAATTCAAACATTGGCCCCCTTCCTTCCCTCTGGAGGCTACTGCCTCTGACCAGGAACACAATGTGCAAGAACACGTGGTTTCCAAAAGAGGTCGCAATAGCAGCATCAGTAACAGCAGCAGCAGCAGCAGCAGCATCATTCTGCGAAGTCCAACAAGCACAGCAAAGGCACCAAACAGTTCTTTTCATAGTTTTTTTTCCCCCTTTTATCCAAAATCTTTTTTTTTCCCTTTTTTTAAGTGGACTTTTCTATAGAGTTAAGTAAAGTGCAAACACTTAACACCTAACACTTAAGTCCAGACACATACAAAATTCTATTACTTTCCCTCCATCATTACAACATGACAGACAACAATAAATACGATACACAGACAAATACAAAACTGAAAACTTGAATAAAAAGAAAAAAAAAAAAACACCACTATTTGCATGGCCTACAACTCTTCTCTTGCCATGCATCAGTCAACTATTTGTCCATGAGACTAGAGCACACCTTCATCAGGTACAGGTTAGCTGAGGGCAAGAGATGGTGACAAAAATTCAACAGTGGTGGTGGTACCGTGTGGAAAGTTCATAGTGATCAATCCGTTGATTTCCATTTGTTCCTTGTGCTTTCCCGACCCCACATTCATCTACAGGTGCAAGATTCTGCCACCATGTCCTCGTACTCCTTGTAGACGATGCTGCCATTCTTCTCCATCATCAACACGCTGATGGGTTTGTATTTGTACGGCACGCAGGAAGGCAGTGGGATGTCAGCCACGCCCAGCTCACTGATGAAGGTCTGTACGATGGCGTGGTTGGGTGAATTCAGGCCGTAATGCAGGATGCGGGGGCAGTCGCCCATGCAGTAGCGTGGGTTGTACATGTGTGGTGCAATGATCCAGTGGTCCCAGCCCAGGTCGCGGAAGGTCACACGGTACGAGTGCAGCTTGCACTGGTTCTTGGCTACGCTGTTCTTGCCCTGCTTGTAATTCGGGATGTCAGCAACTATGCTGCCGGGTTCTCTGGAGCGCCGGGATCTCGAGCCAGGGCGAGAAAGAGCTCTGACGTACTTCGCCCATTCCATAGGATGTCCCTCTTCTTCCAGGAAGAGAAGCAAAGCAGGGGCTCTTAGGTGGTTCTGCGGCGGGAGACGTTTCCTCTGGGCCCTGCGTCTCACAACAGCAGGTTGAACCCAACCAACTTCCAGACACTTGTACCGAACAATGAGGGCCAACTTGCTACCTTTAAACTGAGACACATAGGACGTGACGTCAGATACAGTCCACAAGCTCTGAGGGCCCAGAGTGACATCAGTGTCATTGGCAGGCTGTGAGGATGACACTCTGGCCGTGCACCTAACAGGAGGGTATGGTGCCACCGGTGACCTCAGATGAACGAAAGACGCCCTCAGTAGTTTGTTCAGTGGGAGGTTTTCCAATTCATACTGTACGGTGTAAGAGTACAGCAGGTCTAGCCGGGTCAGGAAAGGGAGGAGAGAGAGTCACTCTCTGGGTGGCAGGAAGACAATCATTCTGGTTCTCACAAAAAAACATTTAATGACCAACGCATAAAGCAATGAACAACAGCTTATTAATACTTCTCCAGTGGCTTAAAATTACTTATTTGCCTAATTTTGCAGAATTTACAGCCCCATGTAAAAACTCTGCATGAACATAGAGACTGCTTATGACTGTCTATGTTGATTTTGCAATGATAGAATTAACTATAACCGTTTGACAACATTTAATAAAGCATGTGTTAATTTTATTCTTTGGCTAGTATGAAACAAACACCTTCCGCTGAAAAGGCTTATTGTGCATATTTCACTGCTTCATAAGGCCACATTTGTTACACCCAGCTAGGAGAAAACAGCAGAGCAAAGCTGGTCATCAGCAAAACCAGCACGAGAGTTTTGGAGACTGGTATGCTGGTCAGCAGCAATGAAAGCCGTTATGCTGATCACCACCAAAACCAGGATATGTGGTGTTTTCTACTGAGCTCAAGACAAGTGGGCTTAATTAGCTGTGTTTTTCAGTAGGGAGCGTATCTTAAAAGAATTCTGATTCAAATCGAATTAATCGAACCAAATAATGGTGAGCTTCGCGATTCTATGATTCACTGAATTGTTCCTGAAGAATCGAAACTGAATCGAACCGTTGAGAGATCAGATAAGCATAATATTCTCGTCTAAATATGAAGATATGGGACAGTGACACGTATAAGAAGTAAAACTGAAATGTTTTACCGTTTTGTGAGGAGTGGAAGTGTTTTCTTGCGGTAAACGCACGAATCAGCCTGACGGTGTTGGACCCAAACAGTTTGTGCTGCTTCGGCCTACCGTCCGCATCCGCCGCTCTCCTGTACAGACTCCACATGAACTGCAGACTCTGGTCCTCCGCCTGTCTCTCTGGAAGCCCGCTGGTGTTGGGGCTCCTGTGTTTCGTGTGGCGGTTTCTTCGACCCTGCTCCGTGGAGGTCGGCACCCCGAGGCGCGAGGGCGAAAAGGCCATTTTATCGGCGGCGCCCGAGAACGTGGACAACAACAGCAAGAAACACGACAGCACACAAAGTCTGAGGAAAGTGTGACTGCCGGCAGCCTTCATGTTCAGCTTGTGGCACGGCTGAGTGCAGCCAGGGAGGCTACCATCGTCCAGCAAAGTCACAGGGCGGAATTTGTGCCACGCATCACCCGACCACCGCTTCACCTGCTTCACCTTTCTGCAGCAGCGGGCCTCAGTTAACCTGCTCAGCGTAAAAGGCCCTGCGCGTTACGTCAGCGGCGCGAGCAGCCTCAAACCCGACCGCCGCCTCCGCTCAGTCAGAGCACGCAAAACTAATGATTAAACTTACATCATACTGACCAGGGGCCGAGCCAGAGCCTGTTCAGTGGGGTTGCCAGGTTAGAGCAGAGATCTTACTGGGGTGGCAAACTGCTAGAGAAAAAAGTGTCCAGTAACACTACGAGAGAGTAATGTTTGGCACGCTATCAGACAAAAAGACCATTAAAACCACGAGGATTAAAGCCTGATGCTTTTGTTTTTACAATGGTAATTGCCTTATTGATTCCCATTAGAGACCACTCTAAAGACACCTTTAGATCCCATTAGGTAAACCATCAAATGCATCTGGAATTAGAATACATGTTAAACCGTTAGAGTCCTTTACACTGTGAGATCAACCCATCAGGAAAACACAAAATACTATTACTGACTACTGGACACCACCAGAAACCAATAGAAACTTCAAATGATTGATAAGATTTTTGTCAGCAGGGTTATGTTCAGCACAGAATTCCCCTCTGATGAAATATGCTAAACACTGCAGTAAACATTTGAGATAGTTCTGATAGCTCTACTCTGATTGTTAAAATCTTCAGTTACAGTAATGTTACAGGAATCCACATAAAGCGCAACAAAAAATACCATAATCGACTGATGTAGAGATGTATGTAGAGATTAAACAAAACAGAGGAATAACGTTAAGGCTGATTATTGAGTGCAGTGTCATATCACGACTGATTGAACACTGCACTGATAGCAGATTTTCACTGTAACACTGTTCACACAAAGTAGCAGGACTGTTTCCTGTGGTGGCTGCTTCATTTTTGATAGCTGAATGTTTTACTCTGTATAGGTGTGGGGGGCACTGGCAACCCCTTAGCTCCATCCCTGATACTGACACTATAACACACTAGTCTAATGGAAATCCGATGTTGTGCTGGGTGCAACACCTAATACAGGCTATATATAGGCCTATTTAATGCTTACACCTTTTAATTGTGTCTACACAGTTGATCTATTTTGTTTCACAGGAAAAAGAATACAATTTTAAAAAGTTTAAAACTTTAAAATCATCCCTAATCGGCCCCAATTGGGGTGGAATGTAGTGCTGTATAGTAGAGCTGTATCTTGTATCGTCTTAGAACAATTATATAACTTTGACTGAGAACTAAGGACGGGTGATGTGATGACATCATAGTCTACTTGAGGACATTTTCACAAACAAACAATAAGTAATATTTAGTTTTTCTGAGGTTTGTGAACAAGTTGGAATAGACAAAATACACCAACCAGCAAACCAGCAGTACTGCACTAGAAAAAAAATAAACTGAGTTCAATGTAGTTTTAAATTCAACATTGTGCAAATACATAAGCAATTGAAAAAAAAAAACAGGAGGACAATCAAACACTAGTAAAAATTAAATCAGGTACTGCACAGTTACTGTACTCTGGTTGCTCTTTTTTATGCTACATGAAGTTGTTCAGTGTTAGAAGTTCTGGCGATACCCATTATGTACTTTTTGCGTGACGTCATTTATCACGATATTGATAACATTTCATCATATTGCACACCCCTAAGACAGTTGTTGCATTACGTTTGCCTTATTAAACTCCTGATAGAATAACGGTCCATTCACCAATAGTGGTCAGATTTAGCAAAACATTTGATAAAGCTCAGTTAACACTTTAACATGGTCTTTTCCTCAGGCTGTGTTGTTTTTAACGCTGATCTGAGGCCGCTCGGACAGCTCTCTTGCAGCGGTGAAGCCTGGGAATTTGCGTAGGAGGAGCTGGTTCACTTCAGTTGAAAAAAGGGCAGCTCGGAGCTGGACAATGGACAAAGCAACAGTTTCACGATGTAGAAACGCCCGCCCCTCAGCCATTACCACATTGGACAATACCAGTGAAACTCTATCCTAAACGGTCGCTCTGCCTGTCACTCAAACGAACTTCCCAGCCTGAAGCACTTCCTCCGCTTTGAAACTTTGGAAAGTCAGTTTTGACCGCATTCTTTGTGTTCCACCTGTATTCGGACAAGCCCCGCCCACCCGCACTAGCATTGGGTAGATCCTCACACTCAAGCCGTCCTTATAATGTGATTGTGAATTATTAGCCAATTGGAACGCAGGCGGGCGGGGCTTTTGGAATACGGGTGGAGAAAGAAAACTCGTCCCGAGCAGCCCGGCCCTCCTCCCGTCACGCCGCGAGCTGCCCAGTTGTTGATAGTGATGGAGGGATTGGACTCCGCGGCCTGAGAGAAGTGAAGGCGGAATCATCAAGCGGAAAGGCGGAATGGAGACGGTCGAGCAGCTCGTGTCCTTCAATCACATCCACGTTCAGCTGAACGGAGGCGCGCCGTGGGGCTTCACTCTGAAAGGAGGGCTGGAGCACGGAGAGCCGCTCATCATAACCAAAGTAAGTGAGTGAGTGCTGTGGAAACTCGTGTGCTCCCGCTTGTTTTCTTTCAGTTGGCGAGACTGTGGGAGCTGCTGCACAAAGAACCGGAGTGAGACAGTATACAGTGACGGTAATGACGTGTGGAGCTGCAGATTGTCATTCAGTAACTTTTACCCAAAGTGTGCAACAGTGTTTGCAGTCTGGTATCAGATTTCAGGCGCTCTGCTTGACCGCTCCGCTCCGCTCTCGCATTTTTGGAGGCTTCCATTGATTTAGCCAGTTTTAAAGGAAAGGTTTAAAATCTCGAGCTTTCTGTCTTTTCTTCCATGGTTTCTCGCACTGAACTGATTTAATGCCTTTCATGATTAGAGAGCGCTTCTTTCTTCCCACCAGTCAGCTCTCTGTGGGCTTGTCTACACTCACGTGAAACGTGGGGGCAGACTTTCATTCAGACTTTGCCTGGGTGTCTTACTTTTTGGTCTGGTTGGAGTGTACTGTGCAGTGTTTGGTCGGGTTGAAGTGTGCTGTGCAATGTTTTTGAATTCACCTGAACTTTTCCAGACCACACAGAAAATGGTCAGCCGTCATTCAAAGAGTTTTCAAAATTTCTACATAATTCAAAGAGATGTAAACAGAGTCATTCTGAGTGGCTTGATGTGAAATGGTGCACTGTAGAGAAACTTCCCAACTCTGATTTCCTCACAGTGCTGGTGATAGGAACCAGGGCCCCTGGTCCAGGGGTCTTAATGTCCACAATGCAAATATAGACATTTTATTTACTATCCAAATAACCAATGAATCTACATGTGTCTTCTGAGTTTTACATGTAGAGTTGATAGTGCTAAAATAATGGTACATTCCAAAAATTACATCTCGTTTTTTTAACAATTTTATTTTTTCAAAACTACCATGAAACAGTGTGTCAGACATCAGGCAGCGTACTTCTAAATAGCTTTCTGTGAGGTAGCTTTCAGAGGCAGTAAATTCTTCAGATGTTTGGTTCCTATCACCACCACTGTACCCAAATCTGACTCTGATATTTTGTCTAGAATTGAGCATTTCACATCAAACCACTCTGAAGAACTTTGTTTGCATCTTAACCATTTAAGTCTGCAGAAAGTTTGAAAAATCATTTGAAGTCCTCTTTAATGTTTATTGATCAAAGTCATCTTTTATAGGGATATTGCAACCAGACCATAAGTTTTTATTCATGAATTTTTAGATAATGATAGACATCAGAAGGACATTTTGCAGTTAAATATTGATAATTTCATTTCTACATTTGCACTCACCTTTTTAGATGACTAGCGTGAGCACAGAAGTGTCATGTGGAGCTTTTTCATGACACATTCCCCTGATGTTTGATACAGCTCTTTAAATTTTCCACTCTCTTTTGGTGTTTGACTGCGCATTACTAACATTTTAATTCACTAGTCTTTAGGCAATGGAACGCTGATTTCTTTCTCATGTGAAATCTAAACTAACTTCAATCAAATTTAATCAAAATCAGTACTGTGTAAGAACTCCTGCATCTGTAAACCAAGATTAAGATACACAGCATCAAAAGTTTCCAGACACTTGAGTGAATTCAGCTGCTTTGATGTGCACATGCACTGACTCGGGTGTTCAATTGTGCATACACAGCTTGTGTAATCTCCATAGAAAAGCACTGCCAATAGAATGGGATGCTCCAGAGCAGCTGCATATAAGCCTAATGTCATATTGCCCAATGCCAAGCATCGGTTGTAGGGGTATAACACTCCCCTGCATTGGACTGTGTAGAGGTGAAACTGTGTTCTCTGGATTAATTGACCACAACTGAATACCTTTAGAAGCTGGAGTGGCTATTATGATCATCCAACATCAGTACCTGACCTCAGTAGCGCTCTTGTGGCTGAATGTAATCAAATCCTCACAGCAGGGCACCAACATCTAGTGTAAACATCTTCCTGCAAGGGTAGAGACTGTTACTGCAGTTAAGGGGGACAAGTATCAGTTAATATCCTTGATTTTTGAAGCAATGTTGGATGAGCTTGTGTCTACAATATTTGTCTATATAATGTATGAATGACAAGATCAGTGACATGCTATGAAGCAATCGGTTCATAATAACAGAGTCACGTAAAACCTCAGGATAAAGCATAGTTCAGTTAGATGTGCTAAAGAAGGTGGTGCAATAAGGAAATGTTAACTTTTATGATGCCTAAAAGGCAGCGGCACTGCCACCAAGAGACAGAAGCTTGTCCAGGCTTGACAAAAAAAAATGTATAAAGCAGATAAACAAGCTAAAATGAATCATAACACCAAAATTATAGAGAAATTTGCAAAACATATTTTGAGAAGCAAGGAATGGTGGGTGCTGGTTAACTGCCTATGCCGAATAACAGCTAATACTGACATCCTTGACATTTTACTCAATGGCACAGCAGGGGCCAAAGCAGTCTTGTATCTCTGTATTAGCCCCTGTCATATATCAAGCAGCTGCTTCAACAAGACTATCACATTTAAACCAAAGAACTTCAGGCTCCTCAAGTATCTGAAACCCAGCAAAGCCTGAGGATCTGACCAGTTCCCCATTAGAGTCCTCAAGGAATGCAGTGCTGAGTTTGCACTCTGTGCTGCCTCCTCCATTGCTGCTTTTGAAATAGAAACCAAAAGAACTCTGCTTCCATTACCCCAGTTTACAGAAAGTACATAAAATCCACATTTCTGCTCTGTGACATCAATAAAGTCATGAAGGCATTTGTGAATAAACAGTCACAGTGTTGCCTAATGAAACAACCTAGCTTCCAGCAGACACTTTAGATTTGGACTGAACCACAGTACACCAAGCGTATTAAAAATCTTGTACCAGAGATGAAATAACTCCCTGGATCATGGAGAAGATTGGGACTATGGCATCACTGTAGACCAAACTTTAGTCTAAAAGGGTGTCGCAGAATTTATGTATGTGGATACAAACCTAATTCACCAACAGGTCAAACAGGGAATGTTTCAGGTCACAGCTCAGGTAAATAATCTCACCTTAATTCGGTGTGGTTTGGTGGTCGACAGCAAAGTTGGACAGTGACTTCAGCCCTCATTAATGGGCTACTGCCCATTCTGCTCACTCGTACATGACTGTGGCCTCTTAAGGCTCCTGTCTTGCATCATAGATTGCAAATGTGTCACATCATTTTTAGGTATTTGCGTAATCAATCGTAGTTGATAACAATGCTGATTAATTTGCATTTTCTTTTGCTGACTTTTCAGAAATTTGCTTAAAATTTGCAAAACGTTTTCAATGGTAACGTAACTACTGGATCTTTTGACTTCCCAATTTTTGTTCTAGAACTGTATAAAGGCAGCTGTCAGCATTAGAAAGTTGGTGTTTGTCAGGGGAATGTTGGGAAGGTGCACCATAGCTTTACAAAACACAAGTGCACAGCATTGTGCATCATATAACAGTTTTTACAACACAATCTGATTAGTTGCAGAAGCACTCCAGCCGTATTATTTGTGATAAAAACACGTCTTTTCACAATAACTGCATCATTCCATTGAGCATCCTTAGCACTGCTAAGTAATGGCTTTATGCGGCGGCTAACTGTTACTGCTTTACCACATACAAAAAGAGAAATGCATATATTCCATTAATTACTTCTGTAAGATAATGTTTGACCTGCAGCCCAGATTCTAAAGAAGAGTGTGACAGCGGGCCTACGTCAAATTTTGAACCTGACATTGCCCCTAAGAAAGTTTTTCAGGCAACAGCTCTGGCCATGGAGCAACTAAAGAAACTAGTTAGCACAAGACAAACAGAACACAATCCAGCAAACAAAACAGACTGTGAAGTGCTTTACAGCAAAATAACGTTCAGGTTAATCCGGCAAATACTGAAAAAGCTGAGCTGAACCTGATATTCGAGCAGTTTTATGGCTCTGTCTGTAATGCAAAAGCTGCTACATTTTGGAAATACATTCATACATTGGAAAGAATTGCCAAAAGTAAAACATATATTTGATACAATATTCGGGGCTTCTTAGCCAAACTTTTTCTCTTTATTTTGCAGAACTGTTGTATAAAAACAATACAACACTTGAGGTTGTGAGTTATCGCAAATAAGTTCACTCTCTTGTTCTGTTTCTTAAGTATGCCTCGCTTAGCTCAATGAATTCTCTATCTACATGCTTCAGTCTATTGGAGAACATGCAAAACAGTCCTATACACAACTGACTGTTCTCAGTCAGGTCCTCAAAAGCCTGGTTGCCACTGTCGCAGTCATGTTTAAAATGCTTTGCCTTTGGCATCTTCAGGTCACTGTGGATAGCAATGGCATGTCGCTCTCTAACATTACCTTACCACAAGAATCCCCAGATCACAGATTTTGGCACACTTGTATCTGAAAACAGAATAGCCTTCAAAAAAGTCAGGAGTGTGGGATAAATAAAGTTTCCATACTCAGAGTGGATGACAGTGAATGATTTGTATAGGTTTTGTTTTTTTGGGTTTTTAACATATATATATATATATATATATATATATATATATATATATATATATATATATATATATATAATATATATATATATATATATATATATAAAGAACAGTGTGTATAGCATAATATACTGTCACATGTATAAATTTTAAGTATTGATTTTACAACAGGTGAGCTGAAGTTAAGCTATACATTATAATCCCTATGCCTAAGTCTGCTAATTTATACTTAATACACTCTCTTTGCTTCAGTAGCCTCTGTGCATTAAAGAATGAGGCCTGCAGGTCTGGATGCAGGGCCAGTTGGTGAAATGCATTTGATTTCCCTTCTGCGGGTTGCTGTCCTGCTGCGTTCCACCAAAAATGTTGATTTGTTTTTCTTGCATTAAGATGTTTTGGGGTACAAGAGCCCTAGAGATCACATTCCTAGACTCACCCTGTGAACCAGCAGAGGGGGGGGAGGTGGAGTGGAAGGGGGAAGGGTAGGATACAGGGAGAAAAAGATGGAAAGGTTGGGGGATGTGCTTGTGGGAGACGAG